TCAAGAGTCAGTTGAAGTAATAAATTGGTTTAGCTACAAATTGATGGCTGCTTTTTTCTTTCCTGTATTATCTTTAGGAGTATACGCCCATTTCTCGAAAACTATTTTCACTATTTTCCCAAATTATTTAGGGTCTTTGCAGTAGACAAGGTCTAAATGCTATATATTATATATAGCATTTAGGCCCTTTCTACTGCACAGCCCCTTTTATTTACCCAAGCAGGTGTTAACTTCAGACACGATTACACAGACTTTAAAGGCTATAACTTTTGGCCTAAAAATGGATACGTCCCATTTCCCAGAAAACTATTTTCCAGACATGTCACTAAATTTATTAATAATTATACCTACAGCCAATAAAATGCTAAATTGTCACCTTTGTGATTGCGAGGTTGCAACCTAAAGTTACATCTACCTAAAATTACCAACTAATTTGCGCATGAAGATCCAATCTTGAGGGTTAATTTTGATCAAGTGCAACTCCAGCTACATACGTACAGAAGTTTCAAGTGTCTACTTGTCAACTTCGGGTATTACATAGACATGCTTAGACTTGGCGTTGGACACGACAGAAAGGCCTTAGAAATCAAAAATGTACATCATTGTTTCTAGTCATAGTTCTATACGTGGATTATCTCATGGTTTATCGTCATAGGTTAATTATCATTTTATTTCTGTACGCGTCCGAATAATGTCATCTTTTTCTAATTTCTTCACCAGTAATTATTTACAAATCTATGTGTACGAATTATTTATAGTTTTGTTGGTACACACTTTAATGTATAATACATCGTTTCTACATTATAAATAGGTAAAAACTAAATCTATTAACAAAACTAAAAAATTATAATTTTGTTTTTTTAAAAAAAAAGGTATTAAGAAAATCCAGAAAAATCATTTTTCAAAGATATGCTAGGTCCTTTGTTCAATTCAATTCTTTCGTTATATCTCCTGTCTCTTTCCTCTTGCAACCTTTGTTGTTGCTGTTGCTGCTGCAAAACATTAAATCGAATTGCTGCTTCCAATTTAGCCTTAGGTCCGGGTAATAGTACTGCTACTGCATCTCTAAAATTTTGAGGTTGTGATCCTGCAAGTGACAGAATATGAGTAACAGACAATGTGTGCAGTGGTGGAAGTGTGTGTGAATTATTTTCTTCTAAAGATAATACAGGAAAGAAAAAAGCAGCCATCAATTTGTAGCTAAACCAATTTATTACTTCAACTGACTCTTGA